AAAATAAAAATAAATAAATAGAACACAAAAAACAAATTTTAAAAATAAGTGTCTCTTGCAATCAATTTTTCTTTGATCAGTGCTTTCAGTGTATCTTGATTCTGATACATAGTGTTTTCAATGTGGTTTTTAAGTTTCTCCTTTTCTTCAGGAGTTATTAGGAGGTTTTAAAAATTCCAAGTAGATGAACCTTTCTGGTTTTTTGTTTTTATTTGTAAATCTAGTTTTATTGCATTTTGGTCAGAAATTATTTATCGTAATATTTCTGCTTTATGGAAATTGCCAGTATTTTCTTTGTGACTTACTATAGGATCAGCATTTATAACTGTGCTGTGAGTGCTTGCGAAAAATGTGTATTCTCTATAATCAGGATCTAAAGTTTGATATATATCCATAGACTTACTGTATTTATTATGTTGCTTAGATCTTCTCTTTACTTATTTTTTGTAAATAAATGATCTGTTTTGTACTAAGGTTATACTAAGAGTCGTATATTAAAATGTATTGTGTCCTGTGTTTCCATGTATCTCCTGTAGTTTTTGCTTCAGAAAGGTGGTTCCTTTGCTTTTTGCTATGTAAATATCATAATTATTACCTATTCATTTTGGATTGTGGGCTTTTTTATATTAAAAGTGTCCTCATTTGTCATGTTCAGTGCTCTGGACTAAAGACTTAAAGTCTTTAAGAGATAAAGACTTTAAAAACATATTTATGTGACCTTCCTGATAACTCCTACCACTCATATCTTTAGTACCTATGATGATCATTCCATAATAGCAAGCAGCTTTAATTAGGATCTACTTTCATAGGAGCTACTAGAAGCTGTGATATACCTAGTGCATACCATTTCCAATCCAAAAAGGAAGGAAGGAAAAAATGTGGCAACTGGGTGGTCATCACTCAGAATTTATACTGAATGTTGTGACTTTTGCTTTTAAAATTTTACCAGCTAAGCTGTATAGCAAATCATCTGCACGCACTGTACATCTAAACTAAAATAGAACATTATTTCCTTACAGTATTTTGCTGTGTTTTATTTAGAGTAGGTACTTCTTTTGACAGGATTAATTAAACTATCTAATTACCCAAGGCAGTGGTATCACACTGGCTCTGGAGAGGAGTACAAAGGAGTGAAAGAGACCTTTCCACCTAATCTTGTATACCTTTTTAATTTGGGACCATGTCTATGTATTTCATCTAAAAACCATACTTACACACATGCATGTAAAATATAAATAAACTCTATATCTTGAAACATGATGTATTAGGTGCGTGAATCCACCCTCTTACTGAAAAAATAAAATTATTGGGTAAAATACTAAAAAACATACCTTGAATGCATTTCTTAGCTAATGACTATTAGCTAACCAATGTTTCTTTTAGTAGGAAACTAAGAAAAGCTCAGATCAAAGATCAAATGAGAGCAGGAACTCAGAGGGGAACTGACCTTATCCTGAAGATATTTGTCTAACTAGGTGAACCTAAACATTTCATTCACAGCCCTATGGGGCTAGGGACAGAAGACAAATCCTAGGGTTTATCCAAAATAAAGAGGCTATTAGATCTTCTTCCACAAAGTTGATCTACTTTCTCAGTAGAAAAGCAAACTAAAAATAACCTCCCCACTAGCTTGCTCAGCCCCAGGGAATAACTTGGGTGCTGAATTAAGGAGGAAAAACATCTTTCCCTAGAATTCATAACCAAAATACAGCCTTTATTAGATTATAGCTGGAATTCACAATATTTCAAAGGCACAAAAAAATTGAAGCTGAGGATTGAGTATAATTAGTGCATGAACTGTAGTGCCCTGTTGTCTATTAGAAGCAAATATTTTGTAGGGAGTTGTCTATCTCACACCTCAACATGTTTTTTGCACAGCCAAAGTTCCAAGGAAAATGAAGGGCTAGCTCATAGTTAAGAAAAACACTACATACACGGGGAACAAGGTATCAGCAGAAACAGCAAATCAGACACAGAATATAAAATGCTTAATGTTTAAATAAAGGAGAGGCTTGAAAATGAATGAAGATATCGAGTGGAAAAGGTAAGTCACAGAAAAACACCTACAGTACGATTCCATTGATATAAAGATATCTATTAAACATAGATAAAACCAAACATTATACTTTTTAGGAGAGCAATACACAAGTGCTTAAAACAAAAACCGTAAAGAAGGAGTGATAATACAATTCAGGATAGTGGTCCCTTTTTTGGGGAGGAGAGGGATGTGATCAGAAAGGGGCACACTGGAGGTGTGGTAATATTTTGTTTCTTAACTTGGGTGTAGGAACATGAGCACTTACTTTGTTTTTAAATTGTATATTTTCACATGTTCTTGAACATATGCTAAATTTCTAATAAAAAGGAACTATGTAATAAACACGTAATATATAAAATCTATGTTGATTAATTTTTCTTAAATATTTGAAATGAATTATTTGAAATACTCTGTTAGAACTATAAGATTTCAGAAAAAATAGAGTATTTCAAATATTTAACAAAGCTTATGGTTTAAGGAAACTTCTACTGATATGATGAAACAGTTTTCTTCTCCATGCGTCACAGCAAAAGCATTAATTTCGGGTTGTTATTAATCTTCCTTTTTTTCTACTTTGCAGCAAGATGAGAAGATGAAGTGAATGTATGGATTCTGGTTTTTCTGAATTTGATTCAAAGCATAAGGAATCAAAACAGAAATATAACTAGTATCAAGAAGATGAAGTGCTTGATGAAAAGTTTTTTTTTTTGGCCTTTCACGGAGTGTTGATTTGTCCATTCTTAATATTTATTAATAGGTATATGTGCATAAAATAGCTATTTTGTAACATTAAGCTTTTTAAGTCATTTTGGTCATCATATAACATCTTCCTATTTATTTAAGCTTCTTTTTACCTAGTAGCCTTTAACCAAACAATAGCTATTAACGTTTTAAGCAAATAAAATGTGTTAAATACCTTTGCATTGGTTATCTTGTATACTAGTCTGTCTTGTTTTGCTGTGTGTTTTTAATCCATTCAATATATGTGGACATCTAAAAGGGTTTAAAAGCCACCTCCTTCCCTGGCCCGTTTTCTCTCCCTTCATTCTTCTATTTTCAGAAATACATGTTGAATGTCAGCTTCTGTATTACTTCTATTATATGTAATCTGATGACTTAGAGGAGGAGATTAACCTTTCAGGCTCTTTTGAATTTGGTTTTTATAACTTTATTTTAAAGATCACTTACTCTTCCAGTAATAAGTAGTAAAAAATCCTATTCATATCTGAGATCAATACACAGTTTATTGAATTCAAATAACTACTCAAACTGTATTCCACCTAGATGGAAAACTTTTTTAGACAGTACCTGACCACTAAAGGGTGGGCCCAGAAATCTGCATCTTAATCAGATGCTTCCGGTAACTCTGTCCTAGGATTGTCCTAGTACCACACTTTGAGAGACTGCAGTAGGGGTACAGAGTGCTCTAGGGGTTTAGTCAATAGCTCCAGTGAAGGATGGATAGTTTTAGTCAAAGAATCCCAGTTGATGAATGAAGAAGAAAGACTAGAATTAGAAAAATTGCAACCCCCTATTAAAACTAATGGATGTAAAACAATTAGGTGAAATGTTGATGAAGAAATTCATTACAAAGGAATAGCCCTCAGAACCCACTGATCAATGTTAGCATTATTATGAATGAAACAACCAGACACCATATGCTTCCTGCTGTGCTGCAATATTAAGTGTATGGTACCACCTATGAAGTGTTCTTGCCCTCTCCCCACAAAAAAATTGAACCTGAATTTAATCAAAGCTTTAGATCTAATATTTAGTACACAGGAAATAAGTAGAGTAGAAAAACAACCCAGGGAGAGCCACATTCAAAAAATGTTTCATTTAAATAGGACAACTGACCTGGTTTCTTTTTCAATATGTTAACAGTGTTAAAAAGTCTGTTTTCGATCAAAAGAGGCTGATGAGACCACATGCAAATACATTGCACAGCTCTTGTTTGATTCAAAGAAGTCAAGTGTAAAAGACATTTTTTAGACACAGAAATGGCATTGCAACTGACTAAAAGAATGTGTATGTGTGTTTTTGAAGTATTTAGGGCTAAAATATGTCCAGGATTGGCTTTTAAATACTACAAAAAATGGAGTATGGCAAAATGTTTTGTTAAAACTCAGTGAAGGGCAGGTAGATGCCAGTTGCACTCTTCACTTTTATGTACAAAGTTTGGAAAATTTCACAACAAAATTTTTGTGTTTACATAAATGAAATAACATGGGAAAATGTTCTAAGGTATGGCAAGTGAAAAGAAGCCTGGAAAATAACTAGTTTAATCCCACTTAAGTTTTTAAAGGTGTACATGTTTCAAAAAGTAAGGATAGACCAAAGTGAATGGTGGTAAGCTCTAAGTTGTGGACTTAGGTGATCTTTATTTTTATGCTTTGCTGTATTTTCCAAGTTTTTTTTTTTTTTTTTTTAAAGTTTTCCAAGATGTTTTACATCTCTGTTCTTATTTACCAGATAAACTTGGTGGTTAGTTACTGGGTAAACTGTAAATAGTGATAAAATTTTTAAATTTATATCAAGGTAGCTCTTCGTTTTAAAACCAGTAATTATTAGGTTGGCGCAAAATTAATTGCAGTTCTTGCCATTGGAAGGTATGGTAAAAACCGCAATTACTTTTGCACCAACCTTATATTTCTAGAAGATCAAGTTGTAAACTTTTTTGTTTTCCCTAAGATCCGCTCCTGCAGAGTTGGAATAAATATGATTGTTTACACTTAAGAGTCCAGAACTACAGCAGGCCTGGTTGGAGGAGAGGTACTACTGTTCCCAGACTTAAATCCAGCTGGAACACCACCTAAAATACGCAATAACATAAGACCATCAAAAGCAATGTCCCAGGACTTACAATGTTTGCTAAGACGCAAGAGGGTGTGACACAGACGCTCAGCGCCACTGGCGAGGAGATGAAGGGGTCGTCTTCATCTTCGCCGGATGATTTCCGCCCACATAGAGGGCGCCAGTGACGCCCACACACGTGCTGGTGTCCCGGGAAGAGTTTTCCTGGCAATGAGCTCAGGAACGTTGGATCTTAATCAAGGCTTTCTCGGTCAGGGTGTGGGTTGGACTTCAGGCTCCAGCAAGCCCCGCCCCACACGGCGGGTCGGTGCCCCCCGGTCCCAGGTGCCCGCTACTTCCCAGAACCGCCGCCTCCCGCTCTGGGCCCTCGAACCAGCGCGGACACCACAATGGACAGGGCGTCCGAACTGCTCTTCTACGTGAACGGCCGCAAGGTGAGCGCCCGCGGGCTGCCCCTGCCCCAGACCCGCGGCCCCGGCCGTTCGTCCCATCCTTTCGTGCCCGCCGCTTAAGGCGCTCAGGCACACACTGGCTTTCTCCTTTAACAGCGGCTTTGCCTTCGCGTTCCCACCCCGCCTCCGGGGCAGATAAAGGCTGCGTTTTCAGGGACTGTCCTGGATCTTTGGGCCCCCAACGTCCTCATATTCCCCTTTCCTCTCCTTCCAAGGCTCAGAAGCTGATTACCAAACACACGCCCTCCCTAAACAGTAAGATAAAAAGTATTCTTGCCCATCAAGGTCAGCACTCCCAAATCTTCCTTCCCTCAATCCCAGCCGATAACGGGAACGTCCCCAGTACATTGAGAGCAGCCTACAGAGAAGGCTGAGCCTCAGCTCGCGGGGTGTGTTTGGAAGCGCAGAGAGCAACTTAGATTCCGGACAAGACCGTAGAGACGAACACATTCAAGCCACCCCCATCGTTTCTCGGATGAGGAAATCGTTACTTTCCAAAGTCACAGCTAATTCCTGGCAGAGTTGAACCCAAGTCAGGCTCTGGGGGCTCCAAGGTCCTCACGGGGTCCACTGCTGGGTGCGGGCTCTGTCCCCTCAGAAGCTGGGCTCGCTCTGTGCAACCCGAGGAACAGTTCCAGGCAGTGTCCGATGTCTGGGAGCAGCAAAGCCCCGCGGGCCTCCTTTGAAACACCCCCCTGAATGTGAGCATCAACTCTGCTCACTCTTAATGTTGTTCCAGTTTCATCGACATTACTCTGAAGGAGGAAACTGAGGCAGGAAGGTTAAGGAGCTCCCTTAAGAGCTGTGGCTCACGCCTGTAATCAGCACTTTGGGAGACCGTGGCAGGAGGATTGCTTGAGCCCAGAGGTTCGAGTTTAGCCTGGGCAACATGGCGAAACCCTGTCTCTACAAAAAATATAACCAGGTGTGGTGGTGTGTGCCTGTAGCCCAGCTACTGGGGAGGGTGAAGGGGGAGGATCGCTTGAGTCTAAGAGTTCAAGGTTACAGTGAGCTGTGATCACACCACTGCACTCCAGCCTGGGCAAAAGAGTGAGATCCTGTCTCTTAAAAACAACAGAAACAGAGCTAACAACCAAGCAAGAGCAGTGGCACCTGCTTTCCCTGGTGCTCGTGTTGGTGCTGGTTCACTCAGAGCCACCTGTGACTCCTGCTTCTGGCTAAGGGCAGCCGCAACACTTTTCCTGATGGGCACCAGCTGCCTCCCCTGCAAGCTAACCAGGGTGAAGCACCAGGCCCTAGTTGTGAGGCCTGTTCTAAGACCCTGAGCCTAATTTCATTTGTGGTTTTGTATTATGTTTCTTAAAGAGGATCCCCCAAATTGTACGTTAGGCTCCTCAAAAACTTGGTCTGCCCCTGCTGCCTGGGTTCCACATTGGATAAGATGAGCTTGTTTTCCCTGATCTGTAAAGGGGGTCGTTAGGACCCCTTCACAGGACTGCTGTGAGGGTGAAATATGACAATGGGGTGAGGTGATTGAAATATCATTTTTTTCTTTCTTTTGTGTAACAGAATGATATAGTAAACACAACATTGGTTTTGTTGTTTAGACAAACAAATCTTCAATTCCGATTCTAATTCTGATTGAGAAAACCTAACCTCTCAGAGGCCAGTTCCTCTGTTAAAAGGGGATGATACCACTTACTTCATAAAGAGTGATCATGAGCATTCAATTCACTTCTTTGTTAAGGGCCTGCCGTATGCCAGGCAGTGTTCCAGGCTTATGAGATACAGCAGAGCACAGAAATAACAAGTCCCTGTGTGCATGGAACTTACATTGTGCTGGGGAGATAGCAAGCATATAAATACGTGGAAATGTGTAATGTCAGGAAGTGAGAAGTGCTAATATAAAAAATAAAGCACAGCGTGGGGACAGAGAGTGTGCAGGATACTTAGAGGGGATGGATGTTTTGGCCTGTCTGAAAGGGTGGCATTTGAGCAGTGACTGGGATGCAGTGAAGAGCAAGCCATGCAAACATCTGGGAAAGAGCATCCAGGCAGTGGGAATGGCAGGTGCAAAGGTCCTGAGGTGGAAGGATTTCTGTGTGATAAGAACGTAGGTTGGTGGGGCTGGCAACATGGGCAGGGGCCAGATTACTAGGGCTTTATAGGTGATGGTAAGGGTTTGGGTTAAATGAAGAAACAGGGGTTTTGAGTCTAACATCTCCTCACTTCTCCTTCCCCCACTTCCAAACAAATATTGGGATTTTTAACATAACGGCCAACAATAGTTTGTGCTCTATTGATTTTTAAAATTAGATAAGCTAGTTCTTATCTATGGACTCACTTTGTCTATGGGCCAAATGTCCTGTGGTTATTTGTAAAGTATAATCTGGAGATATTGATTCTGTTTTTGCAATTACCCATTAGAATAAATTGTGTTAATCTTTCCCTTTCCTTCTCCTCCCTTCTAAATTCCGTTAGGTGTGTGCTTCAGTACTAATAAACAAGCGTGATTACTTACATGGAAAGAACTAGAATAAGCTTTTTTTTTTTTTTTTTTTTTTTTTTGAGATGTAGTCTCACTCTGTTGCCCAGGCTGGAGTGCAGTGGGGTAATCTCAGCTCACTGCAACCTCTGCCTCCCAGGTTCAAGCAATTCTCATGCCTCAGCCTCCTGAGTAGCTGGGACTATGGAACTAAAAGCACCCACCACCACTCTAATTTTTGTATTTTTAGTAGAGATCGGGTTTCACCGTGTTGGCCAGGCTGGTCTCAAACTCCTGACCTCAGGTGATCTCCCTGACTCAGCCTCCCAAAGTGCTAGGATTACAGGCTTGAGCCACTGTGCCCAGCCTATCATAAACTTTGTGGTTCCAGAGAGTAAGAGATTGTTGAGAAGAGTGTGGAGAGAAAACCCACCCTAGAAGAGGGCTTTTGAAGTCAAACGCAATCTCTGGAATTAAAAACCCACCTTTGAAAAAGAAGCTTAGAAGTGAAGCCACTTAGGAGACAATAAGTGACATGATTGGCTTCTATTCTGCTTTTTGCTAAATTTTCTCAGGTCAACAAAAGTTGTCCTCAGGCAGAAGGTATGACATCTGGAGGCAAGAACAGTGCACGTTGGCCAGGGACCTAGTTGCAGAGAATTTTCTGAAATCTTATTCACCCTACCAAGGCCCCCAGAAGAGCGGATGACCCATTTAACATGGAGTTTAAGGGAGGAAGAACCCATGAATAAATTCTACCATAGATGCCGCATTCCAACCTCAACTCAGGAAATGAAGCATGTCATTTCATGAGGCAATGAGGTGTGGAAATCAAAGGTATGGGCCTTGGAACTAGTCGGGGATTGGGTTTGAATCCTGTGCTATCTGCTCTGCGACTTGGACGTGGCGGATCTGGGGCCTCAGGCAAGGTACTTAATGTCGCTGAGCTTCTGTTTTCTCCTTTGCAAAATCTAGCTAATAACAGAGCCTTTTCCTTTGAAATTGGGGCTGATTAAGTTGCATGAAGAGTGGTTAGCAGGGTACATGTACACAGTAAACACTTGATATGTGGAAACAATTGTTACTATCTGGAGTAGAAAATAATCTGTTTCATGAGTAGAGCCAAAACCTGCTTAGAGGTGTCAAGGATGCTAAGAAGCAGTCATCCTGCATTATTTGCACAATGAGCATAGACTTTTGATATTGGTGTAGGAATCTGGAAAGAGCAGTTTATTGGCTAGCATTCTCTAAGGTTCTTGCTTTACAAGGGTGAGAGAGGAAATTTCTGGGCTTCTGGAATGGCTGCGATGATTCGGAGAAAAGTGGAGAAGGTGGAGGCAGCTTAGGCAGAAAGAAGTAACAAGCAAAATGAATTTCAAAAGCAACCTAAAGCTCAGGAAGGTGTGTCCTCATGGCTGTTCTCTGAGGCTTCTTTCTCTCCTCTGAGGCTGCTATGGATTATTGTTCTTCTCTACTAACTGCGTCTCACAACATACACCCCTTTCTTTCCTCCTCTTCTCCTTCTCAGCCTTGGCCCTTCACATGTGCCTCTACCCCTTCCTTATTTTCTACTCTCTCCCCTTTTATCTCTCTCTTCCTTTCTCTTTCTGACTCTGTCTTGGATCTGGCAGGGCCTCCTCAGGCATTAGTCACTGGCACTACACAGAGAAAAGTGATTTCTTAACCAAGTACGGCATGAACTTGGACTCTCCCAAAAGAGCTGGCAGTGATACAGTGGGGCAGATTCCACCCTCAGATTCAAGGCTATGCTGAGATGAGTACATGCAATGACCCTGACGGGAGAACTGGCAACATCTCTCAAATCCAGAGTCAACCAGAATAACTGTTACCCATCCCCTCTACACCTCCTAGCCTCCATCTGAGTCCTAACCTCCCTGTTTCATTCCCAGAGCTGCCAGGACAAGATGCATGCTAGATCCCTGCCCCCACTTCCTCCAAATACAACACTCACTATATCAAAACAACAACAACAACAACACATTTCAAACTGGCGGGACTTTGAGCCAGATTCCAATCCCTTGAACATTTCCTGGAACACATACCCAAACAAGCATGACCACCTTCTTCCATGAATTTCTTCCTCAAATGTAGAAATATTCCGCAAGCCTAAAGTGCTATTCTTTACTCTACCCAGACCATGTCTATTCATTAAAACGAGACTTCTGTGGTTTACCATCATATCTAGGAACAGACATTGTGAGGTTGGGGCAGAAGCTTTATGGTGTTATCTGAGACCCAGGTTTCTTCTCTCTTTTTTGTCTCCTGCCATGACCGTGTTGCCTCATGGTCTAAGATAACTGCTGGGGTTCTAGCCATTTCATTCCTATTCCAAAGTAGCAGGAAGGAAGGACAGGAGAATGCATGCCAGGATAGACAACCTACAGTTTCTGCCACCAATAACTTCTGTGTTTTTCTTTATTTTCCATCTGTTCAGATGCCCAAGTCTGTGGGAAATTATTCATTACTTCTTGGTATCTCATACCAAATCATACATTGCATGTTCCAGTCATTCATTTCATTAATTAACACTTATTACATCCTGTGATATATCCCCACCACCAAGCTCAGTGTTTGGCATAAAGAAGAATAGCAGAAGATGGCCTCTCTCAGGATCGAGATAGTCTTGTACACACACAAATAATTAAGATACAGTGTAAAAAGTGTCATAAAAGAAGAGGTGAAGACATCAGCCATGGGAACAAAGAGGAGGATGGTTATTTAGAGATGGGGAAGGGTATTTTAGGTGGCAGCACTCTCCATAGAGAACATTTGAGCAGGGTGGTGAACGGATGACACACAAAATTCTGCCAAGAAGAGAGGACAGATTTTCAGGACAGAGGGAAGCTTGCATGCACATGCAGTGAAGGTGAAAGTCCAATGCACCCCCTGGACTAGCCAGTTCATCCGTGTGGCCTGAGTTCGGATTTCTTCTTGTATTCTGGAAATGGTTGGCTATTAATTCACCTAAGATCCACTCAGTCTACTCATTTAAAAAGCACACTTTCTGGTTCCCCCTACCAGAAATCCTGATTCCATAGGGGTTTCATTTTAACAAGCGTCTCCGTGATTCAGGAATTCCCGGAATGGCAGTTTGGCAGCCAGGAGCCACGTTAAATTAGGCATATACATGAGATGATCAGGCTTGGGTTTCACAGCAGTCACTCTGGTCGTGGTACAGAGGACAATATTGTGGGTACCAAGAGTGGAGGCAGGGAGACCCGTCAGGCAGGTCTTATAATCATTTGGATAATAGATGATATGGGCTCATGGGTAGTGACAGTAGAAGAGAAAGGAGTTTAGAGTATCATTGGAAGCCCAAGTGGAAGAACTCGGTGACACTGATTGTGGTGGACTGGAAAAAAAAAGTTGAAAATAGCTCAGGTTTTTTAGCTTAGATGACCTAGCAGATACTGAGGCCATAAAGCAGTTAAAGGAAAAGAAGGGAAGGAGTAAATTTGGAAAATAAAATAAAGAGTTCCATTTGAGAGCCAATTAAATTGAAGATACCTGAGAAGTCCCCCATATTTTTTCTTATCACATACGCACACACAAACAGACACACACACACACACACCAATCTTTCTATATTACAGACTCTTCTAGGGCACAGATCTGACCTTGGTAATTGGCATATGCCACACCTGGCCTGGTGTATAACCTTTTAAAATTGAGGGTAAGGCAGCAGCCCTAGAATAAGCATATGTCCACTTCTCATCTACTACTTCCCAGGAGGAAAAATTACTATAATATGGTGAAAGATGAATTCAGCTTCTGAAATGGCAAAGCAAGTCATGCCTCTATGTGTTCTGTGAATCTAGAAGAAATGTCAAATTTTTAGTGAAAAAAGAGAAAACATGATCACTTTGGAAAACATAACCAATCATGACATTTTGATGTCATCCTTGGGAAAAGACAGCATGCTGTTCTGCTGTTATGCTGCCAGGCTGCTCCCATGAACTTGCCTAAGTGTGTCCTTGCTGCATAGTCTTTCATCACTTAGCATACACGGTTTATCTTCCCCTTTGTTTATTTGATTGGGGCCATGGCTGGTTATCTTTTACTGGAAACCACAATCATTTGAACAAGATAAGCAAACACATCTTTTAAAAAATTAACTCTATCAATGTCCTAGAGGCTATTATATTGCAGCAATTCCTCTCCCTCCTTTCTTTTCTTATTTCATCTACTCCCTCTCCAGTCTGAATTGTTCTACTAATGTCTTTACTCTCACCTGCTTTAAACTTTCTAGAAAAAAACTGGACAGGAGGTAGTGTTCCTGTTAGCGGAAACAATTGCCTTAGAGAAGAGCAATAACTCAGGACCAAGGACAGCAGCACAATTGTGGTGGGGCTCAAAATTTCACCTAAGAGAGGTGGTTTGCATATCACAGGTGTTCCATAAAGCTGAAATCTACTTGAAAATATGAGTAGAAGGGCTAATTAATTTGCATTTCCCTCAAATTAGTGTGATCCTACCGATGTGAATTTCATATTAGCTCTCAACTTTGTATGCCTAACTCTTATTTTCCCTTTGGTATAGGTGATAGAAAAAAATGTTGATCCTGAAACAATGCTGTTGCCTTATCTGAGGAAGAAGCGTATCCTTTTCTTTACTTTGAGTGTGTATGTGTGTGCGTATTTGTATAACTCCAATTTCCTCATTAAATGATATTTCAAATATACATTAGAGACACTGAGATATATTCCCTACTCTCATGGTTTTATGCTCATATTTGAGAAAGTCCTATAGTTTTATAGGCAAGGCACAAATGTGGCTGTCAGAAGAACCAATTTTTTTCCAGTCTCTGTATAAAATGGAGAAACTAGTAATGGAAACTTAATAGATGTTGAAAGGACCTAAGTAAGCATCCTTTAGAATTAAGAGTCACAATATTTATACTCTGTCCTTAAAGACAAATTATTATGCCCATTAGGAAAAGAGAGCACAGAAGTCACCTGAAATGAAAGTAAAAGAAAAAATGGAAGAACTAAACCTGAAAATGTTATCCTAGAAAAACTTGCCAAATAAAACCATCTAAGGAATGGATTTTTAGCTTGGTATGCATGAACTCCAGTGAGTTACCAGAGGGTGAAGGACACTATAATTATATGCAAAATTATGTTTCAATGGGAGTGTGTACATTTCTTCCCCCTGGAGAGAGTAAAATTACCAAAAGAGTACACAACTCCAAAGCATCAATAATTGTTTTTCAGACCCATGAATATGTTTCTGAAACATGTTCATGAAAGTCCTTCAAGAGCTTTAGACATAAAAAACAATTAACATGACTTCCTGATTATCCACAGTACCTATGTGTAATATTTAAAGTTTGGTTCACTGTGAGTGACAGAGAACTCCACCTCATGGCAAACAAGATAGAAGGTAGGAGTTTCTTTCTTTCTCATTGTGTTAGTTCAGGTTCTTCAGGATGTGGACACCAAAAATGAGATTAAATGCGCCAGGATTTTATTAGGAGAAATGTCTGTGGGAAAGGAAGTAGGGAGTGAATCAGAAGAGGCTTAGGGAGCCATTTGATCACCATGTAAGTCTGACTCGGGAGATAAGGTTGAGTAGGAGGGCCCTAGACTGCTGGTCAATCAGTCTTCAGAACCACTGGGGATGGTTGACAAGGACTCCATATCTCTCTGGAGCACTAAATCATTGATGGAGAGCAGTTCATGGGAGGCATGGTCTTAATGAGAACTAGAGTGATCAGTATTAAAGTGTAGCAACGGAGTCCCTTGGTCAGTTACCCTCCATGTTGAAGGGAGGTCTGTGGGGCATGTTTGCATGGCTATCACACTCACATAAAGGAAGCCCACAGATAGGTGGATCAGGGCTGGTCAAGCAGTGTCACAACGTTTTTGAGGAATCAAGCAGCACCTTCCTCAGCACATAGCTTTCTCCTCACCATCAGAGATGACCAATGGAGAGCCAGCCCTCATATGTGAATTCCAGCAAATAGAAAGAAGTAGTGAGCAAAGAAAGAAGCACCCCTCTCCTTTTAAGGACACTCTTCTCCTGGAAGTCATACAGAATACTTATAATTACATCCTATTAGCCAGCACTGTTAATGACCCCACCTAGTCACAGAGGAGGCTGGGAAAGTCTATTTTTTACTCTGGGAAGCCATATGTATGTGGCTAACAATTGGGGTTTCTATTTCTAAGGAATAATGAGAGAAGAGATATTAGGGAACAGATGGCAGTTTTTGCCACTGAAAGGCAGAGAAATACACAAACATGGCTAACATGACACGAATATTCCAAGAATTATCTACAATATAATATTTTGCTTTGTGTCATCAAAGGCAGAGATAAGGATGAGAATAAATGTGCAATGTGTTTATACCTTCAAATACTCAAGCCCTTACATATATAGACTCTTTTTTTAGTTTGGCCCTATTTTTGGCAACCTGAGGTCCAGTTGTTTTCAAAAGGAGGATACAAGATATAGCACACAAAAGGAAATCAAGAATTTACAAGATTATTATAGCTGCTACAATAGTAATTATGACATAAACACATTATTTGATGAATATGTATTGAACTTAACTAATATTTAAGAGTCTGTGATGTTACTGTCTCCTAGTGGCAGGGCTATTCTAGAAAGAGAATTATATAACACATATGATCTTTAACTATACCTCTTCCAGTTCGACTCACGGGAACTAAGTATGGCTGTGGAGGAGGAGGCTGTGGTGCTTGTACAGTGATGATATCACGATATAACCCCATCACCAACAGGATAAGGTACCATGCAGCAAAGTCCAGATATGGTTGAAATTTTTATGATTTTGAATTTTGTTATATTCCCTCATTTGGTAGATATATTTTGAGTACCTACCATGTGAAAAGAACTGGCCACTGGGGGTACAATGATGAACAAGACAGACACGGTCCCAGGAATATAAATGTGTTGAGAGAAAAATGTAGCATCAGTGAGGATAACATATGGTCAAAGAATTCCCCATCAAAACCAGGCACAGTGGCACACATTTCTAGCTACTTGGGAGACTGTCAAGAGGATTGTTGAGTTTGAGTCCAGCCTGGGCAACATAGCAAGACCTTGTCTATAAGAAAAAAAAATCCCCTGTCAAAAGTTGAATGGCTGCCTAACTGCCTGTCTGGGGAGGAAAGGCAGGGCTGAAATTGCAGGGGAGGATAATGCCATCATCGTATTCATGTATAACTCTTCCAGCCCCTAACTTACCCCCTTCCTCCCATCTGGTGCTTTCTCCATACATCAGCCAGAGTGGCCTGCTTTAATTATCATCAGATCAAGTCATTCTTATACTGAAAAGCCCCCAATGACTTCCCATTATGTTTAACATCTGTTTATGTTTGGTATTTATCCTTCTTCACATTTGCCAAGTTTCTTGGCTCTGTGTGTTGATGTCTTCTGGAAACTTCTCAAGGCATTATCTCTTCAAATATTTACTCTGTGCCACACACTCTTCCCTCTGTTCTTCTGGGACTCCAGTTATGCTAATGTTAGACCATTTTACATCATTTCACAGATCTCACTTGAAGGCTAAGGATCTGAGCACTGGTGAGGTTTCAGACGTCTGCTGTGTTCCATACCAAACTACCTGCTGTCTGAACTCTGAGAGGTTCCTCCCTGCTTTACAGCCTGGTTGTCAACTTTTTAGTTCACGAGGGATTTCTCTTTGCTTACCTGTCTCACCTTCCTTTGGGAGATCTATTGCAGCCATGCTGCTCTGTCTTTAGCCTCTAGGAAGTGGCGACTACCCTATACTCTGTGAAGTCTGAGTACGTAGAGTTTCTCTCAGTTCTCCTCTCTCTCCCCCAGCCTTCTTTGTTTAAGGACCAGTATGCTTGGAAAGTTTCTTTTAGCTCTGCTTCCCTGCCTATTTTTGGGGAACTACCCCTGGAACTCAGTGATCTCTGGTGGGGAAGAGATTGGAGATAATGCAGCCCAGCTTTATATTTCAATCTGTTGCTATCAGCCCACATGCAACCATTCAAAGTTTGTTGGAAGTTGGTCTGGTTTCTCCTTATTCCTGTTTAAGGCAGGTTCCTTTTCCTCCTTCAGTTTCAGGAAGAGAATAATTGTATCTCAAGAATGAGAACAACTGTATCTTCTCTTTTATGAAGAGATTGTCACAACGGAGTTTAGTTTATTTATTTATTAAGTTTTGCTCATAAAGTTTCTTTGTCTACTCAGCATCTGATGAGCTTTGAAAATATGTGATTATGTTCCTCGTATGGTTTACTTTGGTTTTTAGAATGAGAGTGGCAGTCTCTTACAACTTTCTACCTCTAAACTGAAAGCTTGCTTGCCTTTGAATCGGTATTCAAACTCTGTACCTTTGCTATCAAGCCTTTACCTTTACCTACCTGGCCTCTGCCTGTCTCTCTAACCATGAGTAACACCACTCCCCTTGCATTCACTGTGTTCCTGCCTCACTGGACTTTTTTCTGGCCCTCTTCCTTTTCTTAAACATCCCACACTTATTGCTGCCTCAAGGCCTGAGTATTTTGTTCCACTGCCTTTCATGTCTGGCACCTTCAAATCATTCAGATTTTACAAAAATGTTGCATTCTCAGTCGTCCCCAATCACCTACTAAATAGCTGTGCTCCCCCTCACTTTCACAACTCTCTATGGGGTTAGCCTATATTAATGTATTCATAGCACTTCTCGACATTTCAATTAATGTATTTTTGTGTGTACTGTCCATGTACATATGTACTGTCTTCTTTCAGCTAGAACACACACTCTACAAGGGCAGAGACTTTATCTGTCTTGTTCTCCAGTGATTTTAGCAGTGAATTTTAAAGTTCCAATGCGGAACTCTGCCTGGCACATAGGAGGCACTCAATAAATATTTGCACTTATTTATAAATGAATAATATCCTTTCAGTCTTTCTTTTGTGTGTATACATATGGAAGCATACTGTACATACTGTTTAAAAACCTGTATATTTTGTTAATTTCTCCCTAATATCTTATAATAATAAATTCATTCATGGCTATGTGTGTTCCATCCTTTGGGCATACCAAAACCACCCCCCAAATACTGTCCACTTAGATTACTTTTAGTTTTTATTAGCATGAGCAATGCATCAATTAACACTCCTATAGATATATTCATGTTTATGTCTATGATTATTTCCTTATGATATATCCACAGAGGTGGAATTGCAGTGTAGAAGAGAGTGTGCATTTAAAGTTTTTTTTTTTTTTATGTCTTCCTGTGAAATATCTCTCAGCAGTTCTCAGGGAGAACTCAATTTCCATTCTTACAAACAGTATGAGTCTCATCTTCCCAAACTGTTGGTACTAATAGATATTATAAATATTAAAAATATTTATTATTTTCTTTGACAAAAATTGTGTTTCTCATTGCTTGAGTCTCTCTTGATTTTTAAGGTCGAATACTTGTTTCATGTGTTTATTGGCCATTTACAGTTCTCTTTGGTGAATGAGAACATTTAGGAGACATTGTGAGTTGGACATTTTCTAGCAGTGGTTCTGTCGGATTGAGGAGTTCTGGATCCCACACCCTGTTTCTTCTTCTGAAGCTTGGTATCACTTTTACTTTATTGCTCAACCAACCCCTGGCCTAGCATCTATCTGAAAGGTGCAATGAGCTCTAGGTGGGTGTGTTCCCAGACAGATGAGGTCTGGCTGCTTGTTCTTGTGGTCTAAAAACAAGAAGCAGACAGACTGGGAAAGAAGAGAGTTTGTTTCTGCAACCAGTTATAAGGAGAAGGTCGAAGTAACTCACCAGACCAACTAAACGTTACCAGATTTTTCCTAGTGCTTATATGCATTCAGTGTACCTACAAGCCGAAAGCCAAAATGTTTCACTCTATCTAATCTTTAACTAGAACCTGGGGTCTAGACAATTACTTCAGAGCCTTGGAAGAATGACTTCATCTAAAGTGGATCCTGGTACAAGGTGTACAAAGTGTATAAGAATGTCTCCATTATTTTAATAGAACTCTAAGTTCTGAGGAAGCCCAGGTAGGCTCTTAATGGCCTTGTTTTTACATTCTGGCTTTTGTACTAAGGCACCAGTTTCTCCAGTTCTTTAATGTTTAACGTATGCATTCATCAGCATGACAGTTAGGTGTTGGTGAAGGCTGGCTTCTCTGGTTGCTAATGGAGACCTGGCCTGCCATAGGTGGGTGGTTACCTGTGACTAGAGAATGTCAACCCCTCATTCGAGCAAAAACCATCAAAGTTGTGACAGTTTTTGATAAGTAGACACCATTCTGGAATTAGAATTAGGAGGCCTAATTTTAATCCTGCCTCTGACACTCTGGGTGTGACCCTGAGTAAATCACTCTGATCCTCAGATTCCACTTCTATAAAATGGGCCTAAGCTAAGGAGGAAATGTATGTGTAAAACCTGGGGACATTACACAAAAACCTGCCACAGTGGAGAAGCTCAATGAATGCCTGGCCCCTTTCCCACTGGATGTGACATAATTTGTAATTTGTGCTTTTCTTTTGCATTCTGAAGGCATCACCCAGCCAATGCCTGTCTGATTCCCATCTGTTCTCTGTATGGTACTGCCGTCACCACAGTAGAAGGCATAGGAAGCACCCACACCAGAATTCATCCTGTTCAGGTGAGGATGTGCCTGTTCTTTATAGGGTTTCTGTGCTTTAGAAACCTCATGACATTGAGTCCCTGAGATTGAGAGAGTGGAGCAGCCTGGGGCCTGCTGCCTTGGCCACTCCAACAGATACAACCCAGCTGGGAACAAGAGTGAAGCCTGGCGTATTGGGATATGTGAGTGTCTTTAACTTCTTGGAAAGATGCTTTTGGAAGACTAGAACACTTTTTCTTCTCTAAGAATGCCCTGACATTTGTGGGTTTGTTTTCTGTGTTCTAATTAGATGGGACCTGTCTATTTGACATCTTCTAAACTCATAAAGAAACAAAAGCCGGGTACAGTGGCTTGCACCTGTAATCCCAACACTTTGGGAGGCCAAGGCAGGTGGATTGCTTGAGCCCAGGAGTTTGAGACCAGCTTAGGCAACATGGAGAAACATGTCTCTACAAAAGTACAAAAATTAGCCTGGTGTGGTGGTGAGCACCTGTAGTCCTAGCTACTCAGGGGTGCTGAGGTGAGAGAATCACTTGAGCCTGGGAGGTTGAGGCAGCAGTAAACCATGACTGCACCCTGTACTTCAGCCTGGGTGACTGAGTGAGACCCTGTCGTAAGAAAGAGAAGGAGAGAGCAGGAGAGACGAGGGAGGGAAGGAAGAAAGGAAGGGATGGAAGGAAAGAAAGAATGAAGGAAGAAAGAGAAAGAAGAGCCATGTACATTGAGGGATATAATTTTATTGTGTTTTTTTTAATAAAGTGGAAAATAACATCATCTTAAGGCTGAGTGAAAATCTCAGCTACCAAAAAGCTTTATTATACTTAGAGCTTGTTTGGAAGACAGATGATAGGAGTTGCCAATAAGTTTTTTGGCTTTTCTCCTAAAGAAGCACCTTGTTAGAGTTTTAGCCTCAAGTAAAAAAGCATCTTCAGACACCTGACTCTTTATGTATATATTGTCCATAAGAATGCCATTTCTAGGCTGGGCGCAGTGGCTCATACCTATAATCCCAGCACTTTGGGAGGCTGAGGTGGGCGGATCATGAGGTCAAGAGATCGAGACCATCCTGGCCAACATGGTGAAACCTTGTCTCTACTAAAACTACAAAAATTAACTGGGCGTGGTGGTGTGTACCTGTAGTCCCAGCTACTCAGGAGGCTGAAACAGAATCACTTGAACCCGAGAGGTGGAGGTTGTAGTGAGCCAAGATCGTGCCACTGCACTCCAGCATGGCCACAGAGTGAGACTTTGTCTCAAAAAAAAACAAAAAACAAAACAAAACAAAAGCCATTTTTACTTGTTTTTATCAAAGTTAATGAAGATCAAATATGAGGAAAGATAGAAGAAGGAAAAGATAGCAGCAACATAGAAAATGACCCAAGTTCAAATTTTCTAGATTTGAAGGAATCTTGGGTTCTATTTATTTGAAAGATCATTACCTAGAGGGAGAGAATTTTGCCTGGATCATGATGAAATATCATTAACTAGAGGAGGAAAATTCTGCCTGGATGCCCATGTGAGACCTGGTCATACACAGGCATACAATACCCTTTCATTTCCTTGTTGACGTGGGACTCCCATTGTTCCAATGTTGCCAGAAGACAGCTTCCAAAATCGACTTGAACCTTAGAAGTTAGACTCCAAAGCAAAAATGCTAGAGGGAGGGAAAGGTAATAAAAGCATTTTATTTTATTTTTCATTTTTTTTCACTTCTCAACTTGAGTATAATTTGGTTTATTTCTCTGAAGGATTTCCTTCATCTCAGTAATTCACAACCACAACTGCACATTGAAATCAACCATCTGGGAATCTTTAAAAGATGTATGCCTGTGCCCCATTCCCAGAGACTCTGTCAGTTGGTTTGTGGTGCTGTGTGGGGCTTGAAATCTTAACACTCTCCTGGTGATTCTCAAAAGTGGCAACCACTGCCTTAAGTGAAGCTCAAAAGCAGATGAGGCCCAACCTCACTACAACCCAGCCCTCGGGAGGGAGGCGCCTGGGATGAGAAGGGCTCTCGGGGGACTCTACTGCAATCTTAGCATGCAGACAAATCACCTGGGGATCTTGCTAGAATGCAGGCTCCAATTCGCTAGGCCTGGGATGGGGCCCAAGATTCTGCATTTCTAACCCTTCCTGTGCTTCCAGGAGAGGATCGCCAAGTGTCACGGAACCCAGTGTGGCTTCTGCACACCCGGGATGGTGATGTCCATCTACACGCTGCTCAGGAACCACCCGGAGCCCACTCTGGATCAGTTAACTGATGCCCTTGGTGGTAGGTTATATGAGCATGCTTTTATTTTTTAATATTTATTTATTTATTTACTTAGAGACAGGGTCTCACTCTGTTGCCCAGGCTGGAGTGCAGTGGCACGATCTTGGCTCCACTGCAACCTCTGCCTCCCAGATTCAAGCGATTCTCATGCCTCAGCCTCCCTGCAGGCTTTTATTTTTTCACGATGATGATAATGATAACAACAGCTAATATTGGATACCTTTCATGTGCCACACACTGCATTAAATACTATTTGAAGATTATCTCATTTGATCCTCACAAAAAATTTATAAGACAGATGCTATTGTTATCTCTGTTTCATAAATGGAGAGAGAGTGATTTGTTCAAAGTTACATCCCCAATAAGTGGAAGAGCTGGTTTGTTCAAATCAGGATTCAAACCAGACCCACACATTGCATTTGGCTGATGTATTTCTGAAGTCCCTTTTGTTTTTATAATCATTAAAAAGCCAGTTATTCATCAGCCCTTGGGAATAGTCCTGTTATCTCCACGTGCTGCTCCGTCACCACTCTCCCTACTGGGTAAGTGGGTGCTTTCAGGACCATATTCAGCATCAGAGGGCTGCTGATGGATACAGCATAAAGTCAGAGACTGAGATCTCGATGCTTATTGCGAAGAACTGTCTCTATCCACCCTAGAGCGTTTTTGTCAAGTTCAAGAGCTCAGTGTGTATGTGGCGGAGGGATATCCTCATCAACAAGATTCTAAACAAGTTTTTTAAGTGATGCCCTCTCAAGTCCTATTTCTGGTGAAGTTCTCCATGGCTGCGTTTGTCTTTGTCTCAGGCCTCCTGAAGACCTCCTTTCTCTGCTAGAGAAAATGAGCCTAAAGCTCATATGTACACTTACTCTGCAAAAATTTTCCAGTGAAAACCAAAACAAATGGACATAGAAAGGAGAGACATTGCTCATAAACTGTCTTCTGCCTGATTTCCTGTAGATCTTATCATGAATTTGATTTCATGGCTGTTTATGATGTAAAAAAGTGATAAGGGGTTCTCAGATTTCAGGGTTCTTAGATCATACATGAGAATTTGTGGGTAATGAAGAATCCTGGGACCCACCCCTAGAGAGTTTGACTCAGTAATATTGTTTTTAAAATAAGACTTCAGATTTAGGGGTGGAGGAGGAACACTGGACCACACTGTGAGAGAAACGCTGGCCTAATGATTTATTATAAATAAATAATGTCCCCAACTGCTTTCACAGTTCAATAACTACCTTTGCTGCCATATAATAACTTTGATCTTTCTATCGGCTGAAGCTTAGAGTGCTTTTTTTTTTTCTCTTTTGTCACAGTAAGTGTTAAAAATGAGGGGTTTTTTCCCTTAGAAAAAGAAGTATAGCTTGCCATTTGCAACAACATGAATGAACCTGGAGGACATTCTGCTGAGTGAAATAAGCCAGGCACAGAAGAATAAATACTACATGATCCCACTTATATGAGGAATCTAAAGTAGTCAAACTCATAGAAGCAGAGAATAGAATGGTGGTTACCAGGGCCTGGGGAACGGGAAAATAAAGATGTATTAGTCAAAGGTAAAACGTTTCAGTTATGCAAAATGAGTAAGTCCTAGAGATACTGTACAGCATAATGCTTATAGTTAACACTGTACTGTATACTCAAACATTTGCTAAAAGGTCAGATGTTATAGTAATCACAAAATAAATGAATAAATAAATGGTGGGAGGGAACTTAGAGGTGATAGATATGTTTATAACATTGACTGTGGTGATGGTTTCATGGGTGTAAGACTTATCTCCAAATTTACCAAGTTGTACAACTTTTTGTATGTCAATAACAGCTCAATAAAATGGATTCTACTTTAAAAAAAAATATTAGGCTGGCCAAGCACAGTGGCTCATGTCTGTAATCCCAACATTTTGGGAGGCCGAGGTGGGTGGATCACCTGAGGTCAGGAATTTTGAGACCAGCCTGGCCAAAATGGTGAAACCCCATCTCTACTATCAATACAAAAATTAGCCTGACCTGGTGGTGCACACCTGTAGTCCCAGCTACTCAGGAGGCTGAGGCAAGAGAATTGCTTGAACCCAAGAGGTGGAAGCTGCAGCGAGCTGAGACTGCACCACTGCACCTGCAGCCTGGGTGACAGAATGAAACCCTGTCTCAAATAAATAAATAAATAAATAAATAAATAAATAAATAGTTTTTAAAATAAGGCTTAGCTCTTGAATGTGACTGTAGAGCAAGTTTTTGGCTTGAAATTACTGTGTTGTTTGAGCACCTGTCACAAGCAGAAGGCATAACAACTTTACAGGAGAAAGTACAAATACCTGAACTTTTAAAATCTGCCTCAAGATTCTTAACAAAATATCCCAAGTCGCTGTTGAAAAGATCTGACTTTGTAGATTAGGTGGCCTAAAATGGCAAACAGAGCTTTCCTCTGTGATAGGGTCCTTATTTCCATCACACTCCTGGTAGACTGTGCCTCTATCTGGGTCACTTGGCTAACAGAGCTGTGTTTTTCTCCTTCAGGTAACCTGTGCCGTTGCACTGGATACAGGCCCATAATTGATGCATGCAAGACTTTCTGTGAAGTAAGTGGAAAGGACCACATGTTTGAGTATGCTTTCCCCTGTGAAACGAAATGGTAGGGATTGTCAGTGATTAGAGGGGCAGCATCGTGCTAATACACGGCTACTTCTTATCTCCAGGTTTCTAGCTGCTATTTGTTATTTGATCTTGAGCAGGGCACTTACCCTCATTCATTGAGCTTGCCTTGGTGGTCACATAATGAACACCTGAGCATTTTGACACACCGGCTGTGTGTCATTGCTTCCAGGAGGTCTTTCCTGACCTCTTTGCCTGGGTCAGGTACCCTGGCCCAGTGTTCCTATAGCCCTCTGCGAACATACGATGGGTATACGCATGTCCCGTCACAGCTTTGGTCACAATGTGGTGCAACTGATCATTTGCTATCCCATCTCTTCACCAGACTGTGGGCTGCTTCACAGAAGAGGCTGTATGTCTCCGGGTCCAGTCACCATACAGTCATTGAGTAGTTACTCAATATTTGTTGAATGAATAAATGAACAAAAAAAGTTGAAATGAAGGATATAAGATTGCCCTTTGGCAGCCAAACAATGAATTCAGTATATCATAGATAAGAACAGTGATGACAATAACAATACCTATTAATATTTGTTATTAATATTTAAAATACTAATATTAACTAATCATTATTATTTGCTATTTAATGCTATGTGCCACACTTAGTTATAAGATCTTTATGTCTTTTAACTTATTTAGTAATCACTGCTATTCAAAATTTCCTATAAGCTGGGGTTTTTCATTAAAGTCAGTTTGAATATGTTTAAGTACAAATGGCTCTCATGGCATCTAACGATATTGATTCGGCATTACGTTTCAACTGGTAGTCACCTGCTTTATTTACTACTTAGTAGAAGTAATAATAAATTCCTAGTGATTTGGTTTTTGTCCGCTAGACTTCGGGCTGCTGTCAAAGTAAAGAAAATGGGGTTTGCTGTTTGGATCAAGGAATCAATGGATTGCCAGAATTCGAGGAAGGAAGTAAGGTCAGTGAAATGTAAAGCTTTTGTAAGGCTTTCTCAGGACATGAACAGGAGCCAACATACTCTTAGGAAGAATAAATGGCTACCCAAGTTGACTAATTTGTGGTATGTCAACATTTGCCCTCTCCCATTCTCACTCCATCACTATAAAAAAAATTATATCATAGCAACTTTGTCCTCATTCCAGATATTATTCCCATTTAAATACAGTTATCTACAGGAGGGAAAACATGTTGGTTCCTTAGTGTCTCTTAGTTTTTAAAAGCATTTTCTCAAGTTATTTTTCAAGGGTCAGAAGTAAAGTGGAGATGTCATGAAAATGAAAGAACAAGTAGAGCAAGTAGCTTCAGGAGAGGTTCAGGGAGCCGTTCTTGTTCCAGCTGTCCACTGCTGCTGCCGCCTCTTCTACTGTCCCCAGACTCCAAAGAGAACGTGCAGGGAGTTGAGGCCTCCAGAGGCCCGTTGGCATCAGCACTGAGTTACTGATGACCGGGTTTGTGTTAGAGCCCTTGGTCTGGAGCTCAGGGAGTGTGGCTGACTAGTGGACTTTTTTGTTGGTTTGCTGTATCTGACCATGTGTCTATATCTTTTGACCTTATTCCACAAAGGATTTTAAAGTTGATCGATAACGGTAATTTCTGATACATTCTCTTTTTCAGACAAGTCCAAAACTCTTCGCAGAGGAGGAGTTTCTGCCATTGGATCCAACCCAGGAACTGATATTTCCTCCTGAGCTAATGGTAGGTAAAGCAATGTTGAGCTCATCGTAGAAGAATTCATGGTGAAATATCAGGAAGGATATTTGTTTATGGGTTCTCTCAAAAGCTGATTAGCAAATAAGTCAGGTCTAAAGAGTATGGACTGAGGAAGAGGAGGAGGAATGGGGCTGGGGTCACCATGGGGGACAGCTGAGTTGACTGTAAGAAGCAGCAGATAGCATCTATGAAATCGTGAAATCGCAATAGGTGTAGACATGTTTCCTACTTTCACTTTTGCTGAAGTTTATTCCTCCATAGAATGATTTAACAAGATTCAGCATGTTACTATATTTGCAAACATTAAAATGATGTTCTTTGAGGCATAAGAGCACCAAAGGGAGACAGACGAAGCAGTTCCCAGGAGTAAAGAACCATTGTACTTTCATTCTGAATTCTAATTCCTTGTAAAGCTCTACTTTTAGGTCACTTGGTACTTTATTTTTTAGAAGATATGTATTTTCTCCTTCTGTTTCTACAATGCTAATGGTTGAGTGGAAACAGGTGGAGATGGCACCACTGGGTACCTTGAATCCCTGTTGCTTTTTCAATAGATAATGGCTGAGAAACAGCCGCAAAGGACCAGGGTGTTTGGCAGTGAGAGAATGATGTGGTTTTCCCCCGTGACCCTGAAGGAACTGCTGGAATTTAAATTCAAGTATCCCCAGGCCCCTGTCATCATGGGAAACACCTCTGTGGGTATGTAGAACCCCAGGATTTCTTATAGGGAAATTGAGGAAAAGGACTTGGGACGGGGCCAGAATGGGCCGGTAACTCCATATACATGTGTTCTCAGGAAAAGCAGTCTGAAATAGCATTTTTAATCATTTGGGCTAGACTTCCTGAGCATTGCTCAAGAGACTTTCTAACTATTATTAAGTAGATTCATCTTGCCTCTTATTGGAGCAGTGTGAAGAGTTGCACCCAAGGGGCTTGCTCCGTAGCAAACCAGCAGCAGCAGCTCCAGTGACAGCTGTCCTGTCTTTCCATTTGGGGACTAATCTGGGCCTCGAATTTGAAATTGCTCTTTGTTTCCTCTCTCACAGTGTCTCAATAAGTATAATATGTTTTACTTAAACAACCGCTACAGGGTCTTCCTGTTGCATCCAGTGTATTTTAGCTTGAGGAGCAGCCCCTAGAAATTCCCAGAAATAATTTTGAGTATGCAATATAGCCCAAGTTTCAAGGTTGACAATTCCAGAGTATTCCAAGTTTGATGAAAATCTATCCAGCCATTCTCTCTGTATGTGATTTGGCAATAAACAGATGAATAAAAAAATACGTAATTTTTATATGTTTAAAGATATTAGTTTAATAATAATTTCAAATTTAAAAGGCAGTTAATTCCTTTATTCTAGTCTTATTATGATTTTTTTTATCCTTTAGGGCCTCAAGTGAAATTTAAAGGCGTCTTTCACCCAGTTATAATTTCTCCTGATAGAATTGAAGAACTGAGTGTTGTAAACCATACACATAATGGTGAGTTCTTAAGTCCCTGTTTTCTTAGTTAAGATGCATTAATCAATTTATTTACCTTGCCCAGCAAACAGAAAAAGAATGATTCCTAATTATAATACACATAGAGATTCTCTTCTTATAAGAATGATATATTTGTTGGCCACATAGATGTCTTCTTTTTAGGAATGTCTGTTCATATCCTTTGCCCACTTTTTGATGGGGTTGTTTGTTTTTTCCTTATGAATTTATTTAAGTTCCTTGCAGATTCTGGATATCAGTCCTTTGTCAATGGGTAGATTGCAAAATTTTTCTCGCATTCTCTAGGTTGCCTATTCACTCTGATCCTAGTCTCTTTTGCTATGCATAAACTCTTTAGTTTAATTAGATCCCATTTGTCAATTTTGGCTTTTGTTGCAATTGCTTTTAGTGTTTTAGTCATGAATTCTTTGCCCATGCCTATGTCCTGAATGGTATTGCCTAGGTTTTCTTTTAGGGTATTTATGGTTTTGGGTTTTACATTTAAATCGTTAATCATCTTGAGTTGATTTTTGTATAAGGTGTAAGGAAGGGGTCCAGTTTCAGTTTTCTGCATATGGCTAGCCAGTTTTCCCAGCACCATTTATTAAATTGGGAATTCTTTCCCCAGTGCTTGTTTTTGAAGGGTTTGTAAAAGATCAGATGGTTGTAGATGTGTGGTTTTATTTCTAAGGTCTTTGTTCTGTTCCATTGGTCTATATATTTGTTTTGGTACCAGTACCATGCTGTTTTGGTTACTGTAGTCTTGTAGTGTAGTTTGAAGTCAGATCATGTGATGCATCCAGCTTTGTTCTTTTTGCGTAGGATTGTCTTGGCTATACAGGCTCTTTTTTGTTCCATATGAAATTTAAAGTAGTTTTTCCCTAATTCTGTGAAGAAAGTCAGTGGTAGCTTGGGAGGATAGCATTGAATCTATACTTTGGGTAGTATTCATGGTATTGATTCTTCCTATCCATGAGCATGGAATGTTTCTCCATTTGTTTGTGTCCTCTCTGATTTCTTTAAGCAGTGGTTGATAGTTCTTCCTTGTAAATTGTATTCCCAGGTATTTTATTCTCTTTGTAGCAATTGTGAATGGGAGTTCATTCATGATTTGGCTCTCCGCTTGTCTATTGTTGGTGTATAGGAATGCTTGTGATTTTTGCACGTTGATTTTGTATCCTGAGACTTTGCTGAATTTGCAAATCAGCTTAAGGAGTTTTTCGGCTGAGATGATGGGGTTTTCTAAATATATAATCATGTCATCTGCAAACGGAGACAATTTGACTCCATCTCTTCCTATTTGAATATTTCTTTCTGTTACCTGATTGCACTGACCATAACTTCCAATACTGTGTTGAATAGGAGTGGTGAGAGAGGGCATCCTTATCTTGTGCCAGTTTTCAAAGGGAATCCTTCCAGCTTTTGCCCATTCAGTATGATATTGGCTATAGGTTTGTCACAAATAGCTCTTATTATTTTGAGATATGGTCCATCAATACCTAGTTTATTGAAAGTTTTTAACATGAGGAGATGTTGAATTTTATCAAAGGCCTTTTCTGCATCTATTGAGATAATCATGTGATTTTCATCACTGGTTCTGTTTATGTGAGGGATTACATTTATCAATTTGCATATATTGAACCAGCTTTGCATCCCTGGGATGAAGCCAACATGATCGTGGTGGATAAGCTTTTTGATGTGCTGTTCATCATCACTGATCATTAGAGAAATGCAAATCAAAACCACAGTGAGATACCATCTCATGCCAGTCAGAATGGTGATTATTAAAAAGTCAGGAAACAATAAATGCTGGCAAGGCTATGGAGAAATAGTAATGCTTTTACACTGTTGGTGGGGGTATAAGTTAGTTCAACCATTGTGGAAAACAGTGTGGCAATTCCTCAAGGATCTAGAATCAGAAATAACATTTGACCCAGCAATCCCATTACTGAGTATATACCCAAGGGATTATAAATCATTCCACTATAAAGACACATGCACACTTATGTTTATTGCAGCACTATTTACAATAGCAAAGACTTGGAACCAACCCAAATGCACATCAATGATAGACTGGATAAAGAAAATGTGGCACATATACACCATGGAATACTATGCAGCCATAAAAAAGAATGAGATCATGTCCTTTGCAGGGACATGGATGAAGCTGGAAGCCATCATTCTCAGCAAACCAACACAGGAACAGAAAACCAAATACCACATGTTCTTACTTATAAGTGGAAGTTGAACAATGAGAACACATGGACACAGGGAGGGGAACAACACATACCGGGGCCTGTTAGTGGGTGGGGGGCAAGGGAAGGGAGAGCATTAGGACAAATACCTAATGCATGCAAGGCTTAAAACCTAGATGACAGGTTGATAGGTGCAGCAAACCACCATAGCACATGTATACCTATGTAACAAACCTGCACATTCTGCACATATCCCAGAACTTAAAGTAAAATAAAATAAAAAGAAAATGGGGACAGAAAGCATTAAAAAAAAAAAAAAAGAATGATAACATTCTGGAGGAAGACTCAGAGAATAATTCTCTAAAGTTAATCTAAATACTAGTTGTCTGAATAGTTCAATTTTTACCGAAAAACTTCTGTCTGCAATATCAGAGAAATATAAAAACTATTCAATGAAGGATACAGTGCTAAGTGCTGGACAGAAGATAAAACTGGATATAACACAGTCTGTGCTCTTTAAAACCACAGTAGCAAGTTTATGTATTAAACAGCTTACAGACTGGTTTTTCTATTCCTGTGGAGGAAATTGATTTAATGGCAATGATGAGAAACAATAGAAATGTGGATTTGGAGTACAGCCTCTGAAATCTAACTCTTGACAATGGCATATATTAGCTGTCAGATCTTAGGCAAGTTACTTAACTCTCAGTTTCTTCATCTGTGAAATGGGGCTATTAATATCTCATAGGTATGTTCAGATTTAAGGAGATTATCTAAAGCATTCAACATAATACTTGATAGAGTGAGTGTTCAAAGAATTCAGCCTTCATTACCTCCATCACCACCACTTACATCACTAGTACCACCTCTACCATTACCCCCACCTTCATCACCATCACCACACCACCCCCTTACTGCTATTCCTACCACCACCGCCTCACCACTACTTGCATTACCACCATTACCTTCAACATCATCACTACCCATCACCACCATCACCAATAAGCAGGGCAGCATGTATCCAGTATAAAGATTCTATGTCTGTAGCTTTGGTCTAATGGACATGTTCAGGTCAGCAGTGATCACACTGTGTTATTTACAAATGACTTCATTTCAGGACTCACCCTTGGTGCTGGTCTCAGCCTAGCCCAGGTGAAGGACATTTTGGCTGATGTAGTCCAGAAGCTTCCAGAGGAGAAGACACAGACATACCATGCTCTCCTGAAGCATTTGGGAACTCTGGCTGGGTCCCAGATCAGGAACATGGCTGTATGTATCTGATGACAGTAAACCCTGGTAGGCATCCCTTGGTGACACTCCCTGATGAATCATGACATTTTCATTCTTTTGGAACAGACAAAAAAAAAAAAAAAATTAGTTATCCAAAGCCGTACTTAATCCTTATTTTAGCACTTGCGTTTTTATGATTATATAACTGAAATGAAACTAACTCATTATTTTAAAAAGTCTTTAGGGGGACACATCATTAGCAGGCATCCAGATTCAGATCTGAATCCCATCCTGGCTGTGGGTAACTGTACCCTCAACTTGCTATCAAAAGGTAAGTGACAGCCCTGACTTGGAGATTATTAAGCTGTTTCTCTACCCCTTTTTCTCTCTGGGGAGGCAGGAAGTCCAGTCTTGAAAATGACTTTTCCCTATAATATCAATAATTTTCTCTGCTTTTCTGGATACTGGAAATGTTGTGAGTCTTGTCTTAATAGCACAGGCTTTCTTCCCTTGTGTCTTTCTGGTGCTTTTTTCTCATACTGGTCACCCTACACTGGACATGTTTGTGTTGGTTAATGTCCGGGTGTAATCTGACTATTGCTGAGAACTACATGCTATTGAGAACTATTGGGTCCCTCTGTTGAAGACATTCTCCAGGTGGCACAGGAGTGTTGCGGCACCCATATTGTGCTTTGAGCTCATACTTAATTTATCATTGATGGAAACATACAGGTCTTTTTCAGGTGAACAATGATTGGACCTCATTCTATATTTATTTGCTTGATTTTTGTTCTTGAAACTAAGTCCACAACATCTAATTTATTGCTTCTTCCAACTTGCTTGAAAATTATTAGGAAGTTCTAATTGGTCCTCTATAAATTTGTGGGGTTTTTGTTTCATTAAAAAATATGGACTGGTTTTCTATCATCTGCATTGTTAAATACTTACTCTTCATATCATTTAAACCACAAAGCTATCTTTTTTTTTCTTTTTTCTTTTTTTTTTTGAAATGGAATCTCGCTCTGTCGCCCAGTCTGAAGTGCAGTGGCACGATCTTGGCTCACTGCAACCTCTACCTCCT